GGTAGAGCTTCGGACGCACCCGCAGAGCTCTTGCAAGCCAGGAGGCTCTTCCTGGCCTTTGTCACCGTTCGTTCCTAAAGTCCCCTGTCCTTTGAAGGGGCCATGGCCTGCGAAGGAGAGGGGGACTTCTGCTGTCCCTTTTGGCTTCCCGAGAAACACGCCATGCAACTGGATAGGCTCCAGCTTCTGTGATCTGTCAGCAAAAGCCCTGAGCCAAGAGAGGGGTTCTACTACCTCATCTCCAGGAATGAGTTTTTATTTGCTCTCTGGAGGTTTCTGCTTGGTTTCGTTTTACCAAAACTGTGTTGCAGGCTAACCAGTGGCTGTGGTGACCTTTATGATACAGTGGACATCCAGGCAGCCTTTCCTAAGACACTTCGCCTCCATCTCTTAGGAGGCAGGTAGAGGCAGACGGGCTGTTCCTGTCTGGTAGGTGACTGACTCCTCCTCAAGCCCCTGTTGGTTTAACACAGGGTGGGGCAAAAGAAGGTTTACAGTTGTACGCGCAACAGTCTATTCTTATATTACTATTTATTCCTCGTTGTACTAGTTCCCACACAAACGACTGTAAATCTATCTTTGCCCCACCCTGTGTGTCACTGAAGGACTGAACCAGCCAAACACCAGAAGCCTGCCTTTTCCAGAAAAATCACAGCTTCCAGGACACAGGGTCAGGGACAGTGTCAAAGAATTCTGAGTGTTCAGGGGTCTCTTACAGTAGTAAATATTCCAAGTCCGAGAGGAGTCAGGAGAGGGGATGAAGGCCAGTCTCGTGCATGGGGACCGTGGCCCTCCACCGCCCCAGCCTAACTCTTCCCGGCTCCCCACGTGTTTTTCCTTCTAGGGCAGGCCCAGCATTCCCCCAAAATGCCGGGTCGCTATTTTGAGCTGACCCTCTGGTGTCTTAGAAGAATTGGTAGTGGCACTTCAGCCCAAAGACCGGCTCCCACGTGGACACGTCATTGGCACACTCTCAAGGTTCTGAAGCAGTTCTGTCTGCTATGTGCAGGAAAGCTCATAAAGTCCAAATCCCATCCGTTTCCTCCAGCACAGATTAAAGGGACTGGTATTACCTGGGCAAACCTAATGGGTCCCATGATTCCTGAGCTTTAGCAGCACTTCCTAGTTCCATTCTGCAGTACAGGGCCTCCCTAAAGGCAATGGTGGCATTACTCATCTGGGAGGCAGAGACGGATGGGTAGAGAAATGCCCCGTGCTCTCTCTCGCCCCAAGGAAAATGGGATTCCTTTGTGAGAAATGGGTTATATTCTCAGCAGCCTGTGGGCTGCCTGTCATGAGCTGGTCATCACACACAAAGATGATGCTATTCATCAATAGTAAGTAAAAATATTTTAAAGTTTGTTTCTGCACTTAGTGGGGATGGGTTTGAACTAACCACTTCTATTAGTTTGCTGAGGCGGCCGTAATGAAGTACCACAAATCGGGTGGCTTCCACAACAGAACTCTACTATCTCACAGTTCTGGAGGCCAGAGGTCCAAGCTCAAGGTGCTGGTCAGCAGGCTCGTCCTGAGGGCTGTGAGGAAGGACGTGTCCATACCTCTCTCCTGGCTCCAGGGGCTGCGGTGGCAGTCTTTGGAATTCCTTGGCTTGTAGAGACCTCACCTCAGATCTCCGCCTGCCTCTTCGCGTGCCATTCTGCCTGGGTGTGTCTCTGCCTCTGTGTCCTAATTTCCCCTCCTATGGGCATAGTGATATTGCATTAGGGCTCACTCTAATGGCCTCATTTTTATTTGATTAGCTTTATGAAGACCCTATTTCCAAATAAGGTCACAGTCTGATGCACTGGAGCTTAGGGCCTCCACATATCCTTTTGGAAGGACACAATTCAGTTTTGTGTGAGTATGTGAGGTGGGTCCATCTCCAGCCCTCAGCTCCTCTCTGCCACGTGAGTGGATCAGGTGTGGTGGTTTCCAAGATTCGTGCCTCTTATACATCTCTCAAACCCTCGACAATGTCATTATCAACAGGCTCAGGACATGATCTATCAATGCCGCTGGCAATTTCTGCCATGCCCCTGGACCGCCCCCCAAGCAAAGAGGCAGAGCAGAAATAGGCTCATGGAATGGGATGGGGGGTGCCGTTCATCTCAGACAGGTTCAAGTCTGTGGGCCTTCCTCAGCAATGCTTCCTCAGCATTGCCCCATCAGCCTTTTCCGGGTCAGCTGATTACTGTCCCAGCCCCAGAATTTGCTTATAGGGAGGGCACAGTTTATGGCCAGGTCTACCCTTCCATACAAAGTTCAGCACAGTTTCTTGACCTGGCCAGAGATTTATGACTGAAACGGAACCTCTGAGCTGGGGCGTCAGCATTTTGCTTGGTTCAGAGGCTCACGTATTGAACCAATCAATACCTTCATGCATTAAGTGGCATTTCTGTTGGCTCCATAGGGAGCAGGATGGGCGACTGGATATCATTTCAGCATGAGCAGGGGGGCTCCTTCGAGGCCTGGCAATTCCTAGGCATTGAGCCCTGAGGCAGGGGTGCAGAATAAATGCCACAAACTCAGCCCCATTCAGGACTGGGGGCTCAAGCTGGAGGCAGACTTGGCTGAAGCAGCGGGGGCCTCCAGGCGCAGCCACGGTTCAGTTTCCATGTTGTCTTTCTCCCTCTCCCTGGGGAGGATATAGTCAAGAAAAAAAAAAGACTGCATTGAGTTGGTTTGAAAGAAAAGATTGTAGCTGAAAAGAACAGATGGTGCTAAATAGTTATTGGAAGGAAAAGAGTTAGGAGACTAAGTTCCAGATTACCCTGGCTGCTGGTGTGGGTGATGTGCCCAAGTCTCTTCTCAGAAAGAGGTCAAAACAGTCGCCTGGGACACTTGAGCAAACTGCCCGCCGCCCCGGCCAGAGAGATTGTCTGACAAATCTGTGCAGTGGAGAACTCTTGTGCCCACTTCTGTAATTGGAAGTGACTTCTACAATGCCAGCATCGACCAAACTCTCTCCCCTCTCACTCCCCACCGCCCAGCATCCAGCTGAGTCCTTCCCCGCAAGACCCCTGCCGCCCCCGAGGAATGGTGCGTGCGTGGGACCTAATCCAAGACTCAGAGAAACTGATAGAGAAATTTTAGCATTTGCAGGACTGCTACTCTTGCATTGAAGAAATGTTCTCTGTTGATTTTTGGCCTGGATACTCAGCGTTTCTTCCTTTACAGAGATGAAAAAACACTAGTGACTCCTCTATGTACTTCTTTTTACAAACCAGAGCAAAGAAGAAGCCCTCTTAGACAATAAGCTTAGGAGCAATAGTTGCTTGGGAATCAACTTACATCCTTAAAGAATGTATTTTAACTTGCAACTCTGATATGTGTGCAGATTCATCATTCTCTTAACGTGGGGCCAAGACCTTGGCTTCCAGTGTGGGTCTGTGGACCGGCGTTCTGCACTGTCCTTCTGTATAAATCCCATGCGTGACACCACCGCACCACATCCGTGATTTTCAGTTTTAGTTTCTCTAAAATGGAAATAACTTTAGAACACTGATGAACTAATCTGAACACTTTCTGGGTTTTTAAGGGTTTTTTTTCTATCTTTTCTGTTGCCCTATTCATGCCTAATTAAACAATAATTATTTTTAGTGACTTATCCCTTGGAGTCTTTGCAAAAGTAATTCAAATGTTTCTTGCTTGTGTTGCAGCAACTCAATGAGCATAGGTGCCATGCAGAGGCTTGGGAATGAGCATTACTGACCCAGTAGGTGTACAACTCAAGCGATAGGGGTGGAAGGTTGTAGGGGCACTGGAGAATAACCTTGAACATTCAGTTAGCCTTGAAAGTTCAGAGGGCAGTGGGTGTTTCCTTGAATGTAAAATGTACAGATTGTGCTAACCCGTCAGGGAAATTGGTCACATGGAGGCCCGTTAAGAATACTTCTATGATTTTGCCTTACAACCGTGGCTGTGATGAGTCTGCTCCTCCCCACCCCCACTGACTTAGGGGCTAGGTCAGTAGAGGCGGACCCTCGGTCCCTTCTTCCTGGCCTGATACACAGAATGAAGGGAAAATCTCAGCCCAGGACCAGGATGGATGCTGCCTCCCACAAGCCTGTGTATTCTGACCTCGACTGTGACGACGTGGAAGTGGAGAGAGAAAGGAATAGGGTAACCTGGGACTGCATCAGGAAGAAGCCAGAATATCTCCTAGATGCATCCTTTTCGGAGCACTGCTCATCCTCAAATACCCACCGACCCACTAAGAAGCTCTTCTAAAAACCAAAGCATTAAATTGAACAAATTTAAACTTATGTGCAATATAGCAGAAAGTGCATGAGTTTTGAAGATAAATAGTCTTGGGTTCATATCACTTCTTAACATTTACTCCATGGGCAAGCTGTATAAGCTCTCTGAGCCTCAATTTTTTTGTTGTTTATAAAATGGGAATGATAATATCTGTCTCATGCGTTGTAACAATTAAGTGAGATAAAGCCAAATAGCTGCTTTAAATCCTTCCTGGAATGAGGCAGAACATAAATAAACACATACTCAAATGAAATGTTTCAAGAGCCTGGCGCAATGTCCCCTGGGAAATCCACCCTTGTGCATTTGTCTCTTTATCTCCACATGGGGGAATGAAAGGAGTCCCCCAAATCTTGGTGCTCTGGGGTGGGAGGTTCTTCCCCATCCCTGAAATACCATCATATATTCCTATTTCATCTTCTTATGAGGTCATTTCTTGTTAGGTCATCTGTCACACTAGGTTTAGGAGAAGAAAACCAACACTAATATAATAACAGCCTTAGCTAATGCTTATCGAGCGTTAGCTAAGTGCTCTACATAACTTAGCCCAGGTAATCTTCACAACACCCCTCTAATCTTCTGTGTGCATCCCTGCTTCTTAATGACAGGACTCGGGCACAGAGAGGCTAGGTTAGTAGCTGGCCAGAGGCCACAGCCAACAGGAGGCAGAGTTAAGATTGTAAAGCAGGAAGTTTGGCTCCAAAGTTTGAGCTTTTAATGGATATATTTCTCCGGAAGGAAGGTAGGAAGGGAGAGAGGGAGGGAGAGAGGAGGGAAGGAGGTGGCAAAATTAGAAGCTAAAGAGAGGGGCCAGGGCAATGAACTTGAGACCACTCAGTTTTCCTTAGCTCAAAAGCATGAGAGAAAAACTAGGGAAAACACACCTTGGAAATATCTTCTTAGCACCCCCAACCCCAGCAAGGCTGGGCCACTTTCCAGATCCCTGTCACGCATACAGCTCCTCTGCTGGTGCGCAGGTCTCAGCAGAGGCCCTGTGGCCCCAGCCAGCCCGCCCCTGTCTCAGAACCCCCTTGCTCCTGCAGCTCCCTCCAGCAGAGCCAAAGCCATCCGCAGCCTCAGGGTGGCTCTTTTTTATCGTGAGCCACTGGGAGCTGCAGCCCGAATCCACCTGCAACCTCGTTTCCATCCAGATCTGATCTTCTCCAGGGCAGGTTTACCCAGCTTCCGGAAAACTGTGAAGGGCAAGGGAATAACAAAGTCAAGGCTACTTGGATAAAAGACCTCATGCCACATACCAAGTGTTATTATTACAGAAAATTAACTAGCAACAAAGAACTCCACACTAAAATTTACATTGATCTGGCATTTTCCCCCTGCTATCTCCCATAAAAATGCTTTAAATGCAGGCTGATTTAATGGAAACAATAAAAAATAGTGCTGAATGGTTTATATTTGCTGCAGAATTACTACAAGGTGCATTTTAAGAAAAACTTGAAAGTTATATGTGTTTTTTTTCCTTTAAGGTAAGATTAGGGAGAGAAGCGCAATTGCCTTTTTTTTCCTGTATTGATCTGGAAGAGCTCCCACAGGCTCGGGTTCTTGTTTCTAACAAATCTTCACACCTTCATGTTCACGTCCAGACGCTCGTCAGCTGTGTAGCCTGAGCCTTAACAGCGTTACACTTGGTAATAATGATCATCATGTGACTGAGCTCTGTGTGAAAGGGAAGTATATGGCTGGTTGTCTAATTTATGTCATTCCCATCATGCTCGACTCAACCGATGAGTGTGAGCTAACCCAGCAAGGGGGTCTGTCACCACCTGAATGACTTAGCTATGGCGACTACTACAGAGCATGACAATGGCCACGTCTTTTAGTTTCAGGTCCCCCACCATGTTCACCGGGGCCAGAAGTTGAAACAAAATCTCAAGGAGATGAGGTTTCTAACTTCAAGAAGCTTCAAGAGGCAGTTTAAGGTCCTATCCATGAAGACTATGGCGTCACACTAACCTGGGTTTAAAACTCAGCTAGAAACAGAGCGCACAGTAGGCCTTCATGACATGTTAGCTTGGCTGATCCCATCATCAGTACTGTTACTGTTGGCATTGGTGCTGCTGTTAGTGTTCACACTGACTCGGTTCAACGCGGACCTGCCTTTAGAGTACAGTCGTGCATCAGGCGGGACCTCCCCTCTTTGAGTACTCAGGTTGCCTCTGTGTCTCGATTACTATGATTCCCTAATTCCTTTGCTGGCTTCTAGGTACCTGAATAAGAGCTAATGTGATGGCTGCTTCCCATGGTTCTGCTTCTTTAAAAAAGGTGAGGGGCTTGTGGATGAGTGGGGAGCCAAGAGATATGTGATGAACCAACTCCCAAGCTTCCCTCAGCCCCCAGAGTCCCCTAGTCCTTAGGTTCCTCCTAACAGGGAAGTCAACGTGAATGGATGAGAGCTAATTATAATGAATTTACATGAACTTTCATATTAACTCAGCTTCACTACAGTATAAATTTTGGCCGATAATGTCAAAATCTTGTCTGATTTAACAGAAGTCGGTTTATGCATTTGCTCTCTCATTCCACACGTATTTGTTGAGCATCTGTGATGTTTCAGGCACTGGAGACACAAGGACGAATGGTCCACCGATCCTGGCTTTAAGGAGGCTGGTGGTGGGTGGATAAGACACAGGGACCTTCTTCCCATGGAGGCCAATGGACAACACTGACTCATGCCCAACTGGACTGCCTGTTCTCTGAACATGCAGTCTGTATGGCCTCTGTCCATGCCATTCTGTCTTTCTGCTTTGCCCGTTTCCCAGTTCCTGCCCACTCTTCAAGGTACACCTCTTCTCAGCAGCCTGTTGGAGACACCATTTTGCCCTCTCGTATAGAATGCCTAAGCCACTTACTTAGCTCTCTGATACTTAATTCCTCTTTCTCACTAGTCTGTAATTTCCTGGAATGCAAAGCTACGTCCTAAACCTTTAGAGTCCTGATTGCATTTAATACTTTATCTAGTGTGCAACGATGCACCAATAACTACCTGAGAAATGGAATTCGGGAAGTTTAACCAAGGTCTATACACAAAGCATCTTTTCCCATGCTGCAGGAAGATGCAAAGGTAAATAAGAGGTTTTTACTGTACGATGGGGTGCTTTGGAGGTCCTGGTCAAAAGGTTGATCTGCTATTATAGTCCAATCCTAATATGTTTTTAAGGGTATTTCAGAATACTTTTTTAGGGTTGTGTTTAATATACAAAGATTCACTTAACTAAGAATATTTTAATTAACACAAGTAAGGTGGCTGCCAGTCATAAATTACAAATGTCCTCTCACTTTCTTTTATCTACATTCCTTTCCCCCTTGAATCTGATAAATGAGTTGCAATGCCGATAGAATCATGGAGCCATGCTGTTCCATGAAGAACGCTGTTGGTCTTCTGTAAGGATAACTCCCCCTTGTGGAGCCCCCAGTGAAGATGTCCCTTTGCATATGTCCTTCTCACAAATCCTCACAACAATACAGCAAGCTAGGTCTTCTGACTTCCATCTTAAACATAAGGAAACCGAAAGTCAGAGAAGTTCCATTATTTGCCCAAGGTCACTTTGCTAGTAAACAGTGGAGCTGAGACCTGGACCCAAGCCTCAGGGTGCGACAATGGCTAAAACCATCTCGGAACAGCATTCCATTGAAGAGCATGTGGGATTTCGGGGCTCATGTTTGTGAGCTGGCCGTACATCAACACTGTGCCTATTGGAATGTCGCATAGCCACAAAATAATACACATTCTTCTATCTTGTCAACCGCCATCTATGGCCCTCACACACTGTCAAAAGTGTCCCTTTATTCAGGGCTTAAAATAACTCAGTGCCTTTGTCCTCCTGAGACAACTGCCAACCCTTCAGTCTCATCACCAGACATGCCAGACAGTTTCCTTTGAGCATGTAGAGACTCACCTGGTATGGAACAGGGGGAGCCTTAGAGGTTCTTTTTGTTTCCACACTAGAGCTCCTTGCCATTTTTTGTTTTGTGTGTGCATTTGCCGATACCGTATTTTACTGTCTGGCTAATCTATCAGTCCTCAAAACCCAGACTGGTCATCCCTCTGGCAATGCTAAATGAATTTAATCCTTTCCTATCTCTGTGATTCTAGGGATATGAAAAGCAACTGACTACATAGACTGATCCATAGTTTGCATTGTCCCTTGTACTGGCAGTCAGGGGACAATAACATACGTGATTTTAATTTAGTTCTGTAGGTAACCAAATGTGTGGCCTTGGGTAAGTCTCTCCATTTTTACAAGAGGGCAAAAGTTAGTTTCTGCAGAAATAAATCTGTGATTATTTTTTTACTAATAACTCCTCTACTTTCTGTAGAATCTCATTTGTCCCTTGCAGCTTTCAGGGTTCTCATAAAGTACTTTGTCACTAGGACTCCTGCAACCTGTGAGAGCAGTTGTAGGCATCGAATCAACAAGGGAGGGACCCTGGAGAACTTCAAAGTCGATGCCCACGTTTTTGCTAATGAAGGATACCCAAGAGGTGCACACCCAGGACCACAGTCCGTGCACACTCTCAGTTGAGTGGCCTTTGTACAGCCCCCTAGGTCAGAAATGAACCTTGATATTCACAAACCAACCCTCCTACCTTTTTTAATGGGCTCTAATTGATTCATCATGATGCAGCCACTCAGCAAAAATGTGTGGTTAGTTTTTTCCCTCAGCAAATTCATGCAAAGTTGAAGACACTTTCTCTAGCTAAGAATACAATCGATCAGAAAACACACAACATTTCAGGCATTCAGAGTCAAGTGCGTTGTTCAAAGTCACCAAATGAAAGACAGAGCCAGAACTGGAAGCGGAAAGCTTCAGGAAGACACGGGAAGATAATGGATGGTCACGGACTGTCCATACAGGTTTTCTGGCTTCCCAAAGTCCAGGTGGATCCAAACGGTCAGATGGATCGATGGAAGCATCATTGCTAAGATGTTCTCAAATCCCCAGCACGTGGATGCTGCTGCACATTTGTTCTAGGAGACTCTCGGTCAGAACACAACCTTCCTCTTTATGAGCATGAGCAGAGATGCCACCAGCTAAGAGGAAAACAAGACCCTAATGAGCAAGTTTCATGACCACTGGGATGCGAGTAAAGAAGATGGAGGCAGACAGGAGAGAGAGCTCAATTTCTGTTTCATGGGGCTTTTGGCTCTCTCTTAAACAAATCTGACCCTAGGTGTAAGCTTGCCCTTTTCTGGTCCCAATGTCCCTGGTTATAAAATACATCTTTGGCAACCGCTCTGAAGGTTATTAAAGTTGCAGCAGTAAACTATGGGAAGCCGGAGAATTTTGGACAAAAGTTATTGCATCAGTAACTCAGAAACTAATTCCTAAAACTCTTGACACATTTATCCAGAGGGCTAGTGCCAATACAGAAGTGGAAATCATTGTCAAGGGCCACCGTGTCCCTGGAATTAAAATCCATCATTCCTCGGAGCAGAGAGCTAAGATTCTGGCAGAGTATGAATAGTCATGCCTTTCACCGCCATCTCTCCTCAAAAATAAGATTCTTTATTCTTGAGAAGAGCAAGAAAGATGCTAATTTCTTTGTTTGTTTTCCTAAGAATCCCTTGTCTACATTTTCTTTTCAAATACTCCTTTCTTTGACAGTCCCACATTTAAACCAAAAAGCCTTCTTGTCCTAATTTAATTGCACCGGTTAGATTTTGGACAGAAAATCTGCTGGGTACAGTAACAGAGAACAAACTTTACAGCAGCAATAATCCCTCCTACAGCATCTATTGTGGTGAAACTTAATATACTCTTATTAAATGGCTGAGGCATTGGCTCCAGTGGTCTGAATTAACTACAGAAGAGTATAGGATAGGAACAAAACCACCCTCTTCACTCGACAGACTCCAGGGCACGGCCAGCTTAAAACCACCACCCAGAAGCAGGCCCCTGAGAAACCACTGCTTTCCCTAGGCAGCGCCTTCATCACTGGGAGTTAGTGAAAACGGCAAGACTTGGTGGGTGCCAAGCTTGCAGCCAAACAGAGAGGAGGGCCCTCTGACGCACTGTTGGAGGACTGACAGTGTGCCTCAGAGTTTTAATGTCCACGCGCTTTGACTCAGCCTCTGAGGCACTGGTCCAGAGGCAGGACCCACATGTAAGTACACAGGGTTAGCTTAGGCATGAGCGTGAAGAGGAAGACCGAGGGGCCGTGCACAGGTCATTAAGAGTGCAATCGGTAGCCCTAGCTGGTGTAGCTCAGTGGGTTGAGCATGGGCTGTGAACCAGAGTGTTGCAGGTTTGATTCCCAGTCAGGGTACATGTCTGGGTTGCAAGCCATGACCCCCAGCAACCGCACATTGATGTTTCTCTCTTTCTCCCTCCCTTCCCTCTCTAAAAAATAAAAATAAAATCCTTAAAAAAAAAAGAATGCAATCGGTGAACTGATCCTGTAATTTCTATTGATTGTCTCATAACAATAAAACATATTGAGACACGCCATTGAGAGGCCAAGTGCCGTCACAGAGCGCATACGTAGTGGGGTCTCGTCTCTGTAAAATCGCAGCTGACAGGCTGCTCCCTGGGGTGTTGGCCGTGGTCATTGCTGAATAAGGACATTCTAGGTGACTTACTTTTCTTTACCAACTTTCCTGAATTGTTGGGCTTTTCACATTTCATATGATAAGCATCACTTTATACTTTCAGGGAAGGATGCTTTAATTTAAAAAAAAACAAAAACAGAAAGCTAGTCTTTCCCTAACTTCTTTGGCACTGGCGCGGTCACACCTAAGCCCCGCCTCGCGGCAGGACCAGGTGAAACGCTGCGCCGAGTTCCCGCGTGGTCAGTCTCCTGCGTTATCTCAGGGAGGGTGTTCCCAGCGGAGGCCCGAAACTCTGTGCGCTACTGAACTTCGTATACGCTCCGTTTTTCTTCTCTGTGTACATGCATGCTAACGTTTAACCTATACATCAGGCACAGTAAGAGATTAACGACAATAACAAAAAATTATAACAATGTACCGTAATAAAAATTATGTGAACGTCTTTGGGGCCGTTATGAAGTAAAATAGGGGTCACTTGCACACAGCGCCGCGACACCACGACGGTCGGCCCGATGACCTGCGCGGCCGCGAAGGGGCGCACAGCAGGGTGGTGTGTACGGCGTGGCCGTGCTTCACAAAGGGGTGATCCAGGTCCCAGACAGACAGAGCAGTACAGCGCGAGATTTCATCAAGCTACTCAGACCCGTACGCAATGTAAAACTTATGAATAGTTTATTTCTGGAATTTTCTATTTCATATGGGTAACTGAAACTGCAGAAAGCAAAACCACGGATAAGGAGGGACTACTGCATACACATATCAAAAGTCATCAACTTATACACCTTAAGGCACCAAAGCGTGCACTGTTAGTACATGATGTCTATTGTATGTCGATTACACCTCAATAAAATCCTTTTCTTCAAATCGAAGAAAACTTGAGGTAGTCCATATAGTTTCCTTTCTCCACACAAAATTCTCAAAATAACTATATATTTCTTTAAAAGCCTGAATCAATGTGGGAAAGCAAATGTGATGTTCCAATCAGTAAGAGGAGGCTGTTCCAAGAGGTTAATAGACTGAGCCAGGTGTAAAGATGCTCATTCAGCTCCTTCTCCGCCCTCCCACAGTGTCGGTGTCCTCGGTAATAGATGGCTACAAAGCTCCCCATTTGACCCGCTTTTGTCTTTTTCTGTCTGCACCTTTTTGCAGAGTCCACGTCAATCTTAGGTACCTTTTACCCCAAAATGCACGCTTCAGTGCACTTTAATTTCCCTGCGGTAAATAAATAGCCCTTGCCGGCTTCCCTGAAGTAACTCGATAGCAACCCGGGGGATTCTGAGACTATGGGATCAGATAAAATTCTGAAAACCAAGCAATCTTTCCAGACATAATTATAAATAGACAGGTGAATGTTTTAAAGACTATTCCTTCACTCTGCTGCCAGGTTTTCTCAAGCATGTATACTCCTTTCCTGTAAGACTGGCCACTGGAAGAGCCCACTGGCCTGAACTGCCTGAAGAGAGTGTGACAAAGAACCCACACCCCGTGGCCTCTGTGGGTTGGGATGCTGGGTCTCTGAGTTAGCTGGGCAAGAAGGGAGCGAGTGTTTGTGCGCCGCTCCCAAGGCCCCGCTCCTCTGAGCCACTCGGGGTTCCCGCTCTCGCTGGCAAGTGCCCGTGAAGAGCGTGGGCCCTGCAGTCCCAGCAGGAACAGGGCCTCCCTGAAGGCCAGGCCTGCTTCTCACCACTGTCTTCTGTGGTTTCCCCTCCTCTTTCCAACGCGACCAGCTGGACCGTGCTGCAGGGCAGGATTGGGCGCCCCGAGAACCCGTTCCGCGTGGCCCTGGAGTACATCTCAAGCGGGAACCGGAGCCTGTCCGCGGTGGACTTCTTCGCCCTGAAGAACTGCAGCGAAGGTACGTGAGCCTGGCTTTCCCCTCCGTCCCCGACAGCTCGTGGCCTCACGTGTGTCAGCAGCCTGCGGCTGCGATCAGCTGGGAATGCGCGCGCTTCCGCGGGAAAGTCCACAGTGCCGGGGCCGGGGGCTCGTGCTGGAGACCGTCGGTGCCTCCGAGCCCAGACGTCAGTTTGTAAAGATTCCCTGTAACGGTGTATCTGCTGCACTTAAAACTTAGAACGCAGTCTTTTGTAGGTAACACATTAGCTTAACTTCTCTGGCTGCCAAGTGATTTCACCATTTTTCTTAAATTTTTATTGTGGGAAATATCAAATGTGTACAAAAACATAGACTAATGCAATAGAATAGAATAATGCACACTGATATACCCTCAACCCAGTGTCAGTAATTATCAACATTCCGCCATTTTTGTCTCACCCACATCTCCAGCCATTTACAATGAAGTATTTTAAATGATTTGGTTTAAGTTACTATCAAGGGGCCACATGAGAAATGGTTGAATGTCAAGGTTTTCACTTACTTAGTAAAAACCATTAGAGCACGGTCCCGTGTCACTGAATTCCCTTTGCATAAGCCCCCCACTGTGAGTTCATTTCGAGAAGGCATCTCTCTCCTGAGCATACTTTATCTTTTTTTTTCTTTTTGCCTTTGTTGCCAGAGAACTCACTCAATCACAGTAAGCATATCTGCGTAGTTTTTTGATAAGTGTATTTCCCTCTTCCTCTACAGAATTTTTTATGTCTATTCCTATTTTTCAAGATCATATTTTATGTGATTCTTTTTTTGCCTCAATTCTGATTGGCGAGCAGGATGAAATAGGTCATGAGTAGATACAGGGTGGGGAAAAGTAGGTTTACAGTTGTTTGTATGGAAAATAATACAATAACCAATAAATAGTAATACGAGAATAAACTGTTTCACATACTCACAACTGTAAACCTACTTTTGCCCACCGTGTGTATGAGGCTGGTCTTCCCTTGACCCTACAGGAGGCCTGGGATCATGATCACAGATGTCCTTCACTGCTCCCCACGTGTAAAGGGTACAGGAGACGGGAATAGGAGAATCTTTGGGAAAAAGTTGATTTCATTACTGCTCTGCCCAGAGGTTCCCTGGGGAGGGAGCTCTCACCTATACCAAGGGGTCTGCAGCCTTTGAGTCCGAGGATGAAGTGTGGACAGGAAGGAAGCCTGTGGCACCTGCAGAGCTAACTTCTCGATTTAGACCACTCAGGCATCACCACGAAGGCCTGTAGCACAGCAACCTGCCACATGAACAGGCCTGGTTTTCCATCTTGTGCCTCCTGGAGCTTGGGTATGAGAGCGACTCCCTGAGGCAGGGAGCTCCACTGACCACCCAGCTCCTCAGGCTGCTGTGTCTCTTCGTCCATGGCTTGTTTTGCAAGAACTTGTACAAAGTATGTGCATATGTGTGTGTGTGTGTGTTTCCCTTTAATCAAAACTGGTTTCCATGTGGAAGAAAGAAAAATCACCATAATGTGATAGATTGAACTTCAGTTCAAGTTGAAGAGGTGGTTAACCTGTGACGCAGGGCAATGTACAAGAAACATGTGGTTTGGGAGTAAGCCAGGAGCTTGTACAAATGTTTCTGCACTCACAAACTTA